CGCCTCGGAAACCCAAGGGGGGGGGGTCACTGTGTCGGGTCTGACTCGATGGCACACAACAACAACAACAACATAAATATATATATAATTTAATGACTATAATAAAAATTGTGATTCTGAGATTGTTTTGGTTGAGGTTAAAATGAGTATTTAAGTAAAAACAGTGAGAACATTTAGAGTTTAATCCATGATATAGTCCAGATGTGGGATGATATGACCATGATCATGGAAGAGATCCTGATTGGTGGCACCTCCCTCATCCCCCATGTGTACTTCTTTGAAGCTACTTACCACACCTTAAAATTATTATTTTTTAAAGTTTTAATGTCTGTCTGCTTCCTCTACCCTCAACTCCATTGGAAGGGACCACCACATTCCTAGAGCTATTATAAGACTTAGTTCAGAGAAGGCCTTCCATATGCAGCTGATGGGAGATGAATGAAGATGAGAGAGGGGTCTGTGGGAGAGGGCTCTAAGCAAACCGCAGGAGGATCCCTAAGATCTGAATGGAGTCCATATGAAGATAGCATGGGGTCACTGGGTGGGTATTGGGGGTTCATGTGACAGAAATGAGGTCCCAGAAAGACAGGAATGTGAGGTCTGTGTGAACAGGAAATGGAGATCCCTAAAAGTTAGAAATAAGGGTTTAAGTAACAGGAATGGGGGAATCCCTGAGAGATGGGGATTGGGGATCAACAGGAGGTAGAGAGATGGAAGTCACATTTAGGGATGGGTGGTGGAAAAGATGGGGGTCACTATGGGAGGGGGAATGGAGAGCTGATGACAGGGATGGAAATCAGTGTTGCACAGTTGGGGGAGGTCCTGTGTTAGGTGGAACTGGGGGTGCTTGTGACAAGGTTGGACCACCCAGGTGAGATGGGAATGGAGTCAGTGTTGCAAAGTTGAGGGATACTGTGTGAGGTGGGCTGGAGATTGCCATGTTGGGGTCTCATGTGCAGGAGGGATGGAGTTGGGGGTCAGGTCCTGTGAAGCGAGGATGGAAATGCAGATAATAAGGTTGGGGCGTCCTGTGAGCAGCAGGGATGGGGTCGAGGTTGGAAAATTGGTAGGTTTGGGTGAGTGGGGTTGGGCGCCCACATGCACGGGTAATCGGGTCATCAAGGCGGAGCCAGGGGAGCGCAAGGATGGTGGGGGTCCCGCGAGCCTGGGCTGGGTTTCCCGGGCGGGGGGCTCGGCGGCGGATCCCGGGCGCCCCCTGGCGGCCCCGCTGCCGCCGCCGCCGCCACTGCTTCTCCCACAATGCTCGCGTAGCCCGGCTTCGGCTACCCCGGCGGCAGCGGTGGCGGCCAAGATGGCGCAGACGATCTTCGAAGCCCTAGAGGGTGAGTGGCAACGGGGCCGAGAGAGGCGGCTGTTCCGCGTCATGCCCCTCCCGCCGCGTCCTCCCAGCGCTGGGCCCAGGGCGCGCGGCGGCCGCGGGGCGGAAGGCGCTGGGGCCGGAACAGCTGCGGGGCGAGAGGGGGCAGACGGGAACAGCCGCGGGAGCAGTGACGGGGGGAGCAACGGGACCGGAACAGCCCTAGGAACCGAGGCGCGGCGGGGGGGGAAACGGGGCCGGAACAGCCCTGGGAGCCCAGGCACGGCGGGGGGGGGGAAGGAAAACGGGATCGGAACAGCCTTGGGAGCCAAGGCGCGGCGGGGGGTAGGGGCGAGAACAGCCCTGGGAGTCGAGGCACTGCGGGGGCACCGGAAGCGGAACAGCCGCAGCCTGGAGGGCCTCGGCCCAGCACGGGGGTGTTCTGGAGGGAACAGCCGAGGGGTGGGATTGGGAGAGACGTACCAAGGGTGGGGGGACAGGCCGGTCGTGGAACAGCTCAGTGTTCGAAGGCCTCTCCCAGGGGTTGGGGCCCAGAAGGGTTGCACTGGGCAGGGCGGTGGTGGTGCGGCAGCAGCGGGGCGGGAGTGGGTTGGTGGCCGAAGCGTATGACCAAGCATATGACCCGGGCGCCTTGATCTCGACGAAAGTCTTTTGAACGCCAACGGTGTACCCTATTATGGGGTGCGTGCTCTTAAATTCAGACCGGAAAAGATAGGTGGTACCTGTGTTTCAGAGCCAAACTAGCGAACACCGGGCTCTGACTGTCTTGGGCTTTGCAATGACCAGGGATAGAGTGGCCCTCAGGCTCAAGGAATTGTGGGGCTTTGGAGGCAGCGGACACTGAGCACCTGCAGGTGCACCTGCTGGGCCTTAGGGAAGAAGGGCAGCCTTAGCAACTTCAGTGGCACAGCACAGGGCAGAACCCCGGGAGGAATACGCAGAATGTTCTTGGAACGGTGTGTTAAGATGCGCACGCACACATCTCTAGCTCGCAAATAAAAAGGGGGCTGGACTGGCATTTTGTGGCTGAGCCTTTGCGTCCAGCAATTCCCTGTAGGATCTTAGCCCCTTCATTTCTTGGAGGATCAGAATTCAAAGTCATGAAATGGGAAGTAACCCCAGTTTATGTGAATATTCACTGAGCCAGGCACAGCCCCCACCTCCTACCTCAGTCTGGCGAGGGAGAGATGGAAGTGATAGAACAGGCAATTACAGAAATTACAAAAACAAAACCAAACCGATTCTGACTCATGGCGACCCTATGTGTGCGGAATAGAACTGTGTTCCATAGGGTTTTCAAGGCTGTGACTTTTCGGAAGCCCATCACCAGACCCATTTTCCCAGGCACCGCTGGGTGGGTTTGGACCACCAACCTTTCAGGTAGTGGGCGAGTGCAAACTGCGCCACCTAGGGGCCATAGAAATTAGAGAATTTAAAGCTCAGCTAGGAGCTCTGGTAGCATAGTGCCTAAGGCACTTGACTGCTAACCATAAGGCTGGCGGTTCAAACCCACCACCCACTCCTCGGAAGGAAGACTGGGCAATCTACTTCCGTAGTGATACTGCCTTGGCAACCCAAGGAGGGGTCGCTATGAGTCAGGGCTGACTCAATGGCACATAACAACAACAACAACAACAAAGCTCAGCTGGTGCTCAGTGCTGTGAAAACAATAAACAGTGGGGTGGGGTAAGACTTGGAGGGGCAGGTCAGTGGTGGTTCCCTCTGGGGAGGAGAGCAGGGTGGGATGAGGTCTGCTGTCTCTTTATACTCCCTAGGCTTTTTCATAGGAGCTCTGGTAGCATAGTGCCTAAGGCACTTGACTGCTAACCAGGAGGCTGGCGGTTCAAACCCACCAGCCACTCCTCGGAAGGAAGGTTGGGCAATCCTACTTCCGTAGTGATAACTACCTCGGAAACCCAAGGGGGGGTCGCTAGGAGTCGGGGCCGAGCCGATGGCAAATAACAACAACAACAGGCTTTTTCATGATCTGATTTTTTTCTAGACGAATGTGTTCGCATAGTGAAGAAATTAAGTTGAGTAGTGGAGAAATTAAAAAGAAAAAACATGAGGTTAGGTCTCAGCAGAGCTACCACTTTTTCAGCACATCCTTTCCTGACCCACTCACCCCCAAATGAAGCCCCATCTTTCTCTTAAAGTCAGTCCTCCCACTCTGGACTCTTCCTTCATGCCACTTATCACCATTTGCAGTTTTGTACTTATGTGGATCATTATTTAATGAAAGTCTGTATCTGACTCTAAATTACAAGCCTCATGAATTAGGATCTTATCTGTCATTATTATAACCCCAACATCTAGTCTCTAACACATAGTAGGTGCTCAAGAAATATCGAATGAATAACAAATGAGGGGAAAAAAAAGTCGGTTCACAGGACAGTTGAGTGTGTTCTAGGCTTGGGGAAGGGGGACTAGAGCTGTGGGAGTCCAGAGATGAGCAGGAGAGGAAGAATGACCCAGGGAGCGGAAACTGCAGTTGCAAAGCCCTTGGGAGAGAGGGGTCTCCTAGCAGTCACAGAAGTTTGGTGCAAGTGAGCAGTGAGAGATTAGGCCTCCACAGATTTGATGAGGCTTCTGAATTTCATCGTGGGATCTTCATAAAGCTAAGGGAGGGTTTTCAGCAGGGGAGGGACATAATCTGATGTAAGTTTTACAAAGTTTATGCTGGCTGATCTCGGAATGGACTGCAGGGAGCCGGAAAGGCAGGGAGGAGGTAAGCTACAAAGTTGTTGCAGTCGCCCAGCTGAAAATTGAGGTGGCCTGAGCCAGGGCAAGGGCTGTGAGGATGGAGAGAAAGTGGATTGAGAGAGATGTGGGAGGCAGCCTAGGCCAGACTTGCTGTTCTGGTTACTTAGTGCCACTCTGACAAGCATATACCACAAATGGGATGGCCTTAACAAACAGGAGTTTATTCTTACAATTTGGAGGCTGTAAGTCCAAGTTCAAAGTGCCAAGGTCTAGGGGCTGGGTGAAAGCCCCTCAACCTTTGGGTCCAAGCGTGCCATTTGTTGTTGTCGTTTTGCCATCAAGTCAGACCCGACTCATAGTGAGTCCCCTCCTTAGGTTTCCGCGGCAGTATCACTACGGAAGTAGATTGCCCCATCTTCCTCCCGAGGAGTGGCTGGTGGGTTTGAACCGCCAGCCTTCTGGTTAGCAGTCAAGTGCCTTAGGCACTATGCTACCAAAGCTCCTAAGCATGCCATAGGCCAGAGACTATCCCCAAGGCTTCTCCTTATATACAGGAGGCAGACCACATCCCAAAGGCAGCTCTCAGCTGCTTGTGGTAGATCCTACCATGGAGTTGATTGCCAGTCTCATCGTGGGGAATAACTACCACCAGCTGCCCAGCCACTCAACCGGGCCCAGCCAAGTTGACACACAAACATAACCACCACACTTGCTGAAGGACTACAAGTGAGAGGGTTGGAGGATGTTGAGAGAAGACTCACGGAGGACCCTAGCAACTGTGGCTGGGTGGACAGTGGTGCCCTGTTCTTGTTGATGAGGAATCCTGGAAAAGGAGCAAACTTGGTGCTTGAATAATTTCTTTTCGAAAGATCAGCACAAGGCCGGTCCCTATGAGGTGGAGGCAAATGATGTCCCAAATGTCCAGCTTTTCCAAACTGCCCTGCCACTCCATCATCTCTGACATCAATTCCGCCTCCTCCCTTCAATAATCTCCCTCCTGTGTTAGGGCTCGTAGTTCACTGTAACATCTCACAGAACTCACAAACTCCCAAGGAAACGGCTCATGTGGTGGGTGGTGGAGGCTGGGAGGCTGGCAGGCTGGCAAGTCCTAGGTCTGTGGGTAGGTCTCGAGGATTCTCCCAACTCATGTGGTTGCAGGGGTTGGCGACTCCAAATCGGCAGGTCAGATGATGGCTGCTGTCTCGAACCCTGGGGTGAGATGCTGACGCACCAAATGTAGAACCGGAGCAAAAGGGAGAGCAGATTTTCCCAGAGTGTTCCCATTTATATATGTACCGTCACAGAAGTGGAAGCCAAGGGTGGTGACTTGAGTTACACCTTCCTGCAAGGCAGGACTCAAGATACATCTTACCCTCAACCGGCATAGAGAACAGGACTTACAATACATCACAAAATGGGCGGTGACTTGAGTCACACCCTCCAGCAAGATTCAAGATGCATCCCGCCCTGAAGAGGCATGTTGTTGTTGTTATGTGCCATCGAGTCAGAACGGACTCCTAGTGACCCCTCCTTGGGTTTCCAAGGCGGTATCTCTACAGAAGCAGATTGCCCAACCTTTGTTCCGAGGAGTGGTTCAAACCCACCAGCCTTCTGATTAGCAGTCAAGTGCCTTAGGCGCTACGCTACCAGAGCACCCAAAACAGGCATAGGGATTGTTGTTGTTGTTGTTATGTGCCGTCAAGTCAGCCCTGACTCATAGCGACCCCTCTTTGGGTTTCCGAGGCAGTATCACTACGGAAGTAGGATTGCCCAACCTTCCTTCCGAGGAGTGGCTGGTGGGTTTGAACCGCCAGCCGTCTGGTTAGC